CCATTCCACATTATTACAAATAACTTCATTTCTGGACATTTATGGTTTGATTTCTTTGTATGTATGGATCACTTCGGTTGTTACCAACATCTGGTGAAAGTTTCATGTCATTAGCACCTCTAGTAATATATTTACTGAGAAAAACGGTGATGTGTTCAATACTTATTTTACCTGCTGTACTTAAGTTATCCGTTTGCATCCCTTACTGCAGTGTAAAAGTGCTGGTATTTTGAAGCCATGTACGCTCTGTAGACACGTCGGTGCACGTTTACCTTTGCGCTCGAAGCTCTCCTCTCTCAGGATACAGACGAGAGCCAGGAACTTGGTGACCTCYTTGAGGTACAGCACAGTGGTGTTGTTGAGCTTGATGATGGCCATGGACTCTTTGTCGTAGGCGCTGCCGCTGCCATCCTCCCTCAGACTGGWGAGACAGAAACACAGCAAGGTCATCTAAAGAGAAGAAACGATCTGCAGCTCTTCTCTGACAATTATTACTCGTCCAGCTTCAGTCGGATGAACTCCAGAGAGTAAAGAGTAARAAAATCATAGAATCTTTAGAGTTTAACGTCTTTTTTCTTCACAAACTGGACATTTAACATCCATTTAAATTAGTTTTTTCACCCCCATCTCTAAGCAAAGAYAGTCCTTCAATAAAACCAACATGCGCACCCATAAATGCAGGAAACATCGATAACCACGTCGATCATATCGCAGCAGAGTTCGTAGGACTGCATGTCGACAGGCGAGCTGTCTGTGGCGATGTAGATCTTACTGACGACATCAAACAGGAAGGCCTTCTCGATCCCTGAATTCTGTCAGCAGCACCAAGAAACAGAACAAAACAAAAAAATAAAAAATAAAAAAGCAGGTTAGGAAATTACATGATTTAGAAAAGAACAGATGAAGATCTTTGACATTAAAGCTGCCGTGTTACAAAACTAATGGTGAAATWTTTTCTAATAAACTTCACCACTTTAAAAGTGTTTGAGATAATTATTTAATCTTTAAAAGATATCAGATGAAGCAGAATTCTTGTTCTAACCCAGTAGTTCTTAAAGTGGAGCGATGTTCCCGCCTCTTACTGAAACAACTGCTCCACTGACTGATGCTGAGTGATACTCCTGATGTTTTCCCAAGAAAAACACTTCAAATACGAAAACACAGCATGTGTGTATGTGCCGGATTGTGTGTGATGGTCAAATGTCGGGTGTGGTGTCCTGTGCGTTATTGGTGTTCATTTCACATGTTGTATAATTTCTATCGGTTTCTCTCTTTACTGTTCTTATATTTCTCTTCTACTTTTTCTTTCTTACTATAGTAATAAAAAAGCCACTGATGATGCAGAAATTAAGAAACTAACATTCAGTTTTGTTTTCTACTGAAGTGGCAAAAAAAAAAAATAAAAACACCATTGCTTTAAGGCTTTAAAGTGTCTTAAAATTACAGCCTGTCACATAATCAGTCATCTATTGTTGTTGTCAGTCAGCTATCAGAAGTGTTTTGTAAACAACAAAACCTTTAGAAATATGGACTAAAGTTCATCAGTTTGAACAAACGATGCCTCCAGTGGCCTGATGTGTCATAAACAAAGAAATTTCTCATGTTTTTTTCTTTATCAAATGACTTTAGTTTGTTATTTTTGCTGTTGATCATGAAGTTACAGTAAACTAAGCCATTATTAGGCAGCGTGCTTTAAAGTGGCTTAACCCGTAACAATCAGTGCAGCTTAAAATGACTACAACRCAAAGTACCACAGAAAAGACTAAAAACATTCCAAATACATATTTATTCCATAGAAACAAACAACAAAAACACACAGGAGCCTGACAGTCTTTATGACATTAAAAAAATCCAAACTCACCACACACATTTTTAGAAARATCATTTCTGAAGGAGCATACGTGTGTGCCAAAAAAGGACAAAAAATGTTGTTTACTTACAGAAATAAAGATGTTTAACAGGTTTTCCAACGTTGGGAGCTGTGGGATGAGTTTCTGCACCACTTTGCTGAAGGCCTCAAATATAGAGTGGTCATATATACTCGTCAAGTAGAAGCTAAAAATGGCACGCACGCACGCACGCACACACACACACACACAAAGAGGAAATGAATAAGCTAATACTCTGAGACGTTTCCTCTAAAATGCATCTGAAACCAGGTTAAAACATAAATCAGCCACAAGACAAACAGGTGCTGAAATGAGAAAGTCTCAGTAAAACCTGACTGTCTTCATCTGAGTGYTGCAAAACTGACAGCACGTGACTTTAGTTACAGAAACACACAAAACCTGAGGAAGTAAACTATAAAAGGAAGCTGAATGATTGACGGAGACTTGGTTTAACTCTACAGTGTGGAGAAAAAAATACTAATACTACTCCCAGTATTTCATTCAAGGAATGTTGTGTGTATTTTGTTCAGTAACACAAACAGGAGTGGAT